GAACGTTACAGCCAGTGCCATCATTTCCTTCTCTCCTTCCTTCCCTCACCTCCACTGCTTGCGTATCTCCTCCATCGGGCTCCAGGATGCACCCCTGCCAATCACCCCTGACCTCCCACTCTCCATGGATACTGGAACCCCTTTGCCCTCTTTCTCTCTTGGCCACGGTTGCCTCACCACACCCATGTGCAGGTTGTGAGACCCTCCTCTCGCTCCCCTTCCCATTCTGCCTCGCCCCTACTGTTTTCCACCGTCCAGCCTCCTGAACAAGGCCTCCCCCCACCCAACCCCTGACATCGCCCCTTGCCCTGCCTGTCCCTCTGTGCCCCTTTGCTGCCCACATTCTCTTCTCATACTAGACCTGTGACACTACACTCTTGAAGGTCGCCATCCTTCCCTGCTTCCCTTGGGGAGTCTGTGCCACATTCTGGACTACCACTGTTCCCAACCTCCCTGGAATAGCACAGGATGGATTCAGTGATCGCTGTGAAATGTCAGCTCCACCTGGTTCCCACCCACTCTCTGCCATTTCTACGCATATTTGTTCCCACACTGGACTCCACCCACGTGAGTCTATCCCAGTCCCTGAAGTGACCTGTCATGGTTTCTGTGCAGGGTCCGTCCAAATGTGCAGCACTGCCTGTTTCCCCTTTCATGTCAGCCATTGTGTCACCTCCACCGTGTGATCCTGAGTGCCCCTAGTCTCCCAATGCCCAGACTGTGACGGCTCGGCCCTGTTCTGCTCCGTTACTACCGTCCAGTCTCAGTATCTTACATGCCATCACTGTCACCCCGAGACCTGCTGATGTCCCCAGATTGGGAGCTCTTCAGGCCACATCCCATTTTCCGCAGTGCCCCCTTGACCAGTGCCAAGCCCCTCCTTTGTTCGTGAGGTTCTCGCCTCCTTCCCTGCTGCCTGTCCATTTCTCTTCCCTTCCCCTCCCCTAACCATCTCTCCTACCACCTGTTAGTCGTGTCATGAATTCACTGGTCTTGTCCTTAACTTCTGTTCCCCAACTGTCCTGCATTCATGCTCCCCGGGTTGCAGGCTACTTTGTCCCCAGCATGCTGTACTCACTCCATCTGTGATCCCTGTTCACTCCTAAGCACTCCACCTTATCCGATCTGCCATTTTGGAGAAAGTCATTGCTTCCCTGGGCTTCGCTCTTACCTTCTATCTTCTCTCCATGCCACACCCTGACATGTCTCCATTTTTTTGGTCTCGACCTCTACACTCCATCCTCCTCTGGCCTCATCCGCCTCTCCCGTGTTCCTTGCTTGCCTTACCTGCTCTGTGCTCTGCCTCCTGAATGGGCTTCCTCATGCCTTGGCCCACTTTACGGGGCAAAGTCCCTGCATTTTTCACATCCACTCCCTCTTTCAGGCCCTTAGCCATCCCTCTCTTGACAGTGGTTCCCTGACTCTCTCAGCCAGCCCCTCCTGCCCGAGCTCAGAGGCGCCATCTCCGGCCCTTTCCTTCTCTTCC